ATATATGGCCCGAAGGCATGTAAATGCATCCAGCCTTACAATTATGACAAATCGCCACATTCGAGAAACGTCTAAGCTAGTCGGTAGTGGCGGCGACTACCACTGGCAAGCCGCGACCAAGTCGCGTGCTTTACTGCACCGACAGGTCAACAAGATTCCGTTTACTGATCGATACAGGTGTCGAGATTTGTGTCAACCCGCTCCTAGGCGTCGCCGTCTCCAGCTCTCATTCAACCTGAAGGTTCTTTAATTCTCCAAACATATCTACCTCGCACCTATTCTTTGCAATCCCCGAAAAAGGCTATTTTTGGTTACAATTGCGGGGCTCCGAGCTCGTTATCCAGCGGTGATGCAAACCATTGTGAACACTTCAGAACGTTTAGGGTATCTACTTTTGAAGTTAAAATAATCTCTGGATTTTAACTTGCTCGAAATATGTTCGATTTTAAATCCTGCGCGTTTGACTTTTTCAAGGTATCCTTCGTTTTTCCATTTTTCCATTGGTTAGCTCACCAGCAGGAAATAACTTCGTTGTATATCTTATGTCTGCCGATGAACTCTATCCCATTTTCTTCAATTTCAAACAGAACCTTTTCGATAGTAATCGTATACTATTTGACTGTTACCTTCCGTTTGATTTTTTTAAAAAGAGGACGTCACAGTTGGAAAGTAATTTGATTTCAATTTCTTTGGCAAAGACTTATAATTCACTTTAATTCAGTATACATAGCGGAGGTAGGTAGAGCCGTTGAAGACCCAATTTACAGAAAGATGTTGCCAGATCATACATATGTTTCAAAGCCATATATGTACATTATATAAATCGTTGTTGTCTACCAAATGTATGACCAGCAAGTAAAATAAGATCGGGTGTTCTTCTTAATGCGTCAACGCTTTCACTAAGAACAACTGAGGAAGGAAATTTATTCCAGTCTCCAATGAGCCGGTGGGAGAAGTAGTTGGCGCGCACTTCTAGTTTGGCATGGTGTATCTTCAGTTTGGATCTTTGCACTGGTGCTATTTTGTCGCCAGTGACGATGCACGAGTTCTTTGCGATTCGATGTCGGTTGCTTTCAATGGTATCTTGGAATTGGCACCTTGGAGAAGTCCCAAGTCTAATTCCATAGTCTGTCACTTCCCTTCCAGTAGCTTAGAATATCTGAAAAGGATACCGCAAGAACTATTCAGTAGTTCTTGATCCACCCATCTGTCGTGTGTGTGACAGACATAGATAATCATTTGCATTAAGTGACCTGAACTCTACGCAATCCGTCACAGCAAACCCTTCGTCGTCCTCTGTTCCCTACATTTAGTCAGGAAAGCCGTGTTTGCCAAATAACTACATAAGATTCCTCGTCGATGACGCTGACAAAATGGAATTGGTTAACTTCTTATCTGCAATATATCTAACTACATTATTCAAGCCAAGGCACTTTTAATCGAGTTCGTATAGAGTTCCTAATACTATCGATGCCTCTCTTGACCCAATTTAGGAATAAGCATAATTTTCGGATCTTGCATTCCTTGAAAATAGATGGTTTTCCAAAGCCAAGTCTTGAGAAGCTGTCCGACTTTCTCTGATTCTTTGGTCGACTATTCTTGGTCCGTATTTGCAGTGTATCCTCATCTGAAGTATGGAAGATGTATTTCTCTTCCAGTCTTCAAGTCTGGAGCACAGCTCGACGTTAATATTAATCGGGCATGCGTAAAAGTCGTTTATAGCAAACATTTTTGAAAAAGTAATCAAAAGATCCTGATTTCTGCATAGCTAATCAGCGTCCGAGCTTTACTCGGCATGAAATGTGGATCCCGCAGCGAACCGGTATCCCGAGAACACTCTTGTACGGCCTGCAAATAAAAGGCGAATAATCCCGAACTCTGTGCACTGAAGAATTTTCTAATATTAGAAATGTGCGTTCAGATTTCGACGAAATGGAGTTGCAGAACAATCTATAAAATTTCACGTAAGTCGTCGCTATGTAAGCGGGATAAAAAGGTGCGCTCATAGTCACCAGATTTTAAAACACGAAAGTAATACCAATTGCAGGTTAAAAAAAGACTCAAATAAAATTAATATGTATTCCAAGCCGTTAACGGAAAAATGTAAAAGTGAAGAAAGCATTCGGCTTCAACAGGAACTGAGAAGAAATTGGACGGTTGAAAATGCCATTCGTATCTAAAAATTGAGAACGACAGGCCGTAATAACTGAAGATCGTGAACTTTATCTCACCACGATCAGCGGAAAACTAGATCATAGCGCTGACGCACATACTTAACCATAGGTGTGCACCTCAAAGGCATGTAATACTCAATTATCTCAAGTAATTTCTTGTAAAGCAGCTTGTAAGGTATCAGTATCAGTATATTGAGGGATATGTAGGAAAAATTCCTTTGAG